AAGATTTTAGGTGGGAAGGAAACAAACCACTTTCTGAATTTCTAAATACAAAAAAACAAACAGTTTGCTTGTACCTGAATGTGCAGAATTCCTTATCATTTCCATAAGCAATCCAAAAGACATTTCTTAACAAATGGGATTGATAAACTGTCCTACTATAGCAACTAGACAAAATTATATGTTAAATATATAAAACCAAAGGTTTTTGACACTGTACAAGAGCAGCACTGGACCATGATCCTGAAGAGGAAGAAACAAATGAGGCAAGCCCACTGCTGCTTGGAGCAAGTTTTCTAGCCTTCTTAGTGAAAGGAAGTATCTAAACAGCTAGTTAGTCTGCTGACTTGAGGAGACAGAGTCTGGTGAGGCAGAGGTGACTGGAGTAGAGTAAGATTGGAGGTAGAAATGTACAAAGTAAGAGCTCTGCAGAACTGAAGAGAAGTTCTAAGATCTTGGCTAGAGCATCAATCTGAGCACAATGGAAAAGGAGATAAGGCATGGGAAAGAATCACCAAGCAATTGTAAAATGAATAATTTCAAGAGCTCACAGAGGCCTGGAATAATCTGTGTTTTCATCAGCCAGAGTGGACTTTGTAATATATGGAGCATTGACTGGGTAGTCTGAAGATGAATAATAATGTTTTATTAATGAAACTAAAGAAGTCCCAGAGTAAAGGCTGTTCTAGATCCATGATAACAAAAAAAATAAAGGCAAGCTTCTGAAGAATTTAAGAATTTGGTTTGTCTCCAATTTACTTATCAGCAGATCAGCAGAAAATCCAACATCAAAATATGTGTGTGTGTGTGTGTGTGTGTGTGTGTGTGCGCGCGCGCCCAAGAGCTTAGGGAAAAAAGGAAAATGTATAATCTCTGGTATTCAAATAAAACCTATTAGAGCTGGCTGGGATGGTGCACGCCTATAATCCCAGTGGCTCAGGAGGCAGAGGCAGGAGGACTGCAAATACAAAGCCAGCCTCAGCAATTTAGCAAGGCCCTAAGAAACTGAGATCCCGTCTCTAAATAAAATATTAAAAAAGGCTGGTGATGTGTCTTAGTGGTTAAGTGCCCCTCCATGGGTTAATCCCTGGTACAAACCACCAAACCAACCAAACAAAAACCTAATAGGAATGCAAAGAAAAGGGAAAGTATGACTGTTAGAGAAAAAAAAAAAAAACATCAATGTAATAGTCTCAGAAATGACAGAGAAGGGTTTTGAAGAGAAGGCCCTTAAAACAGGTATTATAAAAATGATAAATATACTCAGTGACATGAAGAAAAAGATAAGCCTGATAAGAAGAGAAATGGAGAATACAAAGATTCCAGCTAAGTTCAAAGATAAGAAATACTATCTATAAAATGAAAAATACGGTAGTAAATTTGAAAATTAAAATTATTATTAAAAAAGTAATGAAAGGACAAAAATAGTTGGAAAAAAAGAAAAAAATTATCTAAAACAGAGTTTCAAGGAAGTGTTGGAGCAGTATCAAGAGATCTAACATGCAGAAAACAAGTCTCAGAAGGAAGGTGGGTACTTTAAAAAATGATGGCTAAAACTTCCTAAAGAGTTAAAAAAATATACAAAAAAACAAAACAACATAAGCCAAAAATCCAAGAACACCAAAAACATCAAACAAGGAAAACAAAGAAATTTACAATAAGGCAGTTCATAATAAAATTGCTGAAAACCAGAGGTAAAGAAAAAAAAAATTGAAAGCATCCAGAGGCAGAGAACAGCATTAGGTTAGAGGAACAAAGACTGACAGTAACAAAAAAAAAAAAATCTAAACTCACTGAATATAAGTTCCCACAATCAAGGCAAGATATAGACTTTTTCAGACTGATAAAACATGAAAAAATTTCTTGCTGATAGGCATGGGGGTAAAAGTAAATTACTTTTCAAAGAAAAAAATGTTAATAATGTGCTACTGTGAATTTTACAACACACAAAGAATAAAAGAAATGGGAATAGTACAAAGGCCAGCAAGGGAGAAATGGAAGAAACCTGATGCAAGGATCTCCAACTACTACTACCAAAGGTATAACCTGAAGGTGGAATGAGACAGGTTAATGTCAGCTGCCGCTAAGACAACCAGGGTATAGTCAATAAATCAAGGGAAGAAAAACAAAATCACAAAAAATAACTAATTCTAAACAGGAAGGAATGAAAAGGGGAAAAAAAGAAAAGATAGAACAAATAGCACAAGAAAATACAGCAAGATGGCAGACTTAAAATCAACTGTACGAGTAAGTACTATATATCTAAGTAGTCAAACATCTAGACAAAGAGTATGAGCTCAGGTAAAAAGCAAGACCCACCAACATGCTATATAAAAGAAAACATTTTAAAAGATAAAACCAGAGATTAAAATTAAAACCTGGGAAAATAGCATTAAAAAGCTAAAAAGAAGTTCAAGTGGCTATATTAAGTTTAGACCAAGTAATCTTCAAAATAACTCAAACTGTATACTTTAAATTGGCAATTTTTAATTTATGTAGAATTATTAGAAATCATGCACTTTGCTATATTGGAAAGGTTAAATTATCTGACTACTCTAAAGTGATTTGGAAACCCCAGAAAATCATAACGAAGATCACCAGGAAGAGCCTGAGGAATTAAAGAAGGGTAAAATGCCCAATATCCCTCTAACTCAGAGGTGAAAATTCCTCAGGGATAAGTTAACTGACAGGAATAAAGCCTGGAAACTGGAGCCCAGTTGGCAGGGTCTTATCCCGTCTTTGAATTTTGACCTCTGATATGAGACAGGAGACGAGACCAAAACAGCAGAGGCAGGTTTCTTTGAGAAACAGGCAGAATTTCTTTAGCTGCCCGAAAGACAAAACTGTTCCATGACATTTATGATTGTCCTAACCAATCAGAAATTCTCAAAGTAGTTAACTGAGAATTTAAAGGAGTTGTACTGGCAGGAAACTTCCAGTGTGATACAAGGGGTCTGTGATAGCTCAGCTGCCAGGCAACCCTTGGATTTCACGTTCATGTGCATTGGGTTCTCAGGAAGCAGAGCCTCCAGCAGAGCAATCCTCTCCAATAAGCCTCAGAGATGGCCCAGGAACACAGAACACAAAGAGAACTTCCCTCAGGAGGAAAAGCCAGAGGATGCTGAAATAAGTTAACCAGCCAAGCCAATCCACTGCCAGGAAGTGCATCAATGAGGGATGCTCACATGGGTGACTCTGCTCTCCTTGTCTAGCAGGATGCTGTGCATATTTTGAATCAGTGGGAGCTGTTTTGCTTCCTTTTTTTGCCTTTTTTTGAGCTGGCATTTTAAACTGTGTTATTCTTTTTTTTTTTTTTTTTTTGCCTCCAGTACTTTATATGTAGTAGGTATATCAGATATTTCTATATTTTTTCAGTTAGTTCATAGATTGGCACTCTATTCATACCTAAACTAGAGAGAATATACACAGCCAACCAATTTTATCCTTGGCAATAGAAGCTGCAGCTGGACATAGCATGCTGTAAAGTATATCTGTGGTTATAAATGGAAATTTTTACTATGATTAATGCATTGTTCAAACACAATGTATGTGCATGCTTGAACAAAGACGGATATCTAATCCTTTGTTTGCCAAGAAGATATCCCTTTTTTGTGAGATCTGTAACTCATTCCTTCTTGAAGAAACTTTCATCTCAATACTGCAATAAAGTAGATATTGTCAATCAAGGTATTTCATCTGCTTGGTCATACAGATCAGAATCCTGTCCTAAAGGGCAGAAGGAAAAATTTCCTCAGTGTCAAAACTGAGTACATGATCTTTCATGTTGCTAACAGCCATATATCCAGCCATGTATAAAATGCCCCATTTGAAAGAATAAAGCTAACATACAAAATTGTATACACATAGAAATGGAGAGGGTGTCCTCATAATTCTTCATCTTCAGGTGTGACCTTTTTCTAAGTTAGATTGACTTGCCATCACTTGCAGCTATAGGAACTCACACAAAGTTGTTAGATAAAATCAAGTAGCTTCCTAGGCTAGTGAATAAGATGTTCAGAAAATATGGTGGAGGTACTCCTAAAGAACTTGGAAACACTAAGAAACTTGCTTAATACCACATTCACTGTTAAAACCACTCCAAGACAATGCTTCCCTTGAATGCAACCTAATAGAATCTGCTAACACCTTAAGTCAAAATGTCCAGTCAGAGATTAAAAACAGAGGTACTGTGCATCCCGCTCCATGTTATTCCACATCTGTGTATGCAGGAAGGCAGGGACACCACAGAGGTAAAGTCCTCTCATTTTGAGCACATACATCAGTTTGTCTTAAACCATTCAACTATATCAAATTGTTATTTGACTTTCTGCAATTATTCTAACTGTGTAAACATATTCCATTCCTCCCAAACTTTAAACATTATCTACCAGATAACACCATTATCTATCAGAAGATAATCACATCTCATACTCCATGGAGAAATTGGGATGGGATTCCTTCAATTTCCCAATACTACTCATGCCATGCTCTTCTACATCTCACCTGCTCGTCTCATCAAGGCCATCCACTCCACACATGCTTTAGATATGAAATCTCCCCCTTCTCCCTTTGTTCCTGGGACCTTACGTCATTGCTTAATCTGTGTTATAAATCATCTTTTCTTCAACCACTAGAAATGTGAACTCCATGAAGAGAGGAATCTTGTCCATCCTATTATTTTTGGTGCCTAGCATATAGCAGACAGACAGTATTATTTGTTGAAACCACGAAACATAATGAATAAGAGTCTGAGAAATAAGTCTTCTGTAAGAAATCATCCGTTTCTTGAGTTCTAAACCGTTCTGCTTAGAGAAGATCAGTGCTACAGTGGATCTCTGATTTAGGATTAGAGACTTTCTTAAGAACACTTCTCTAAATAAACATTTTATTTATTTATTTCTCTAAATAAACATGATTTTTCTTCATCCATAATTTTATTTCAAACAAATTCACTTTAAAATTTAAGCTAAAGTACATGAAACAAAACAACAAATGAAGCTTACTCTTTTTTCCATCCATATCTGCATGGATTTTCCGAGCCAAGAATCCGCTTTTGTACACAGCAGCATTTGGGTCATGAGGAATGTCCAAGAATGGGTTGGTCGTGCTCCCAATGCGACTGATGGTCTTTGGATGTGTTCCATTGGCCTTCTCATCAGTGCCTTCTGAGGGGGACTTTTTTTTCTCTTCGTCATCTCTAAGAGGGAAAAAACACATTAAGACTGAGCCAAGCAACTACCACAATATTCAAAACAAACACAAAAACAGTGTAAACTCCCTTGCTTTCTAACAAGGTCCCTCTTGAAAACAAATCACCATGATAATAGCCATTTATCAAAGGGCCTCCAATGTGAGAGGATTAATGATCACGACAATCTAGTAAGATCAATATAGCATTCTGTAGTACAGATAAGGAAACAATCAGTGAGTCCAAACGTATATACTGGGCTAAGACTCAGTAATTAAAGCAAGAGATGATGAGGGTATAACTGTAAAATTCTAAAGCCTGGGCTCTTCCCACCCACAATGATGCCTAAACCAGTGGGCGCTTTTCGACAGGAATCATGATTTCAACTTTTGTATTTCTGCAGGACCTAGCACAGGTTGGCATATAGAAAACAACAAATAATTACAGATTGAGTCCACTGAGTAATATTGAACTACATCTGCCAAATAACCAGGCTAATTCTTAATATCAAAACCCCAGGTGCCTCCTGTCCGTGATTTAGATGGTGCCATGACATCTTACAGGTGCCATTGTCTCAACCATCATATAAGCGTGGGGCACCCTATCAGCCACTGAGAAAACCCCTAATTGCCTCTCTTTTCTGAATCCCTGTTCCTACAAGTGCAGCAAGTTTAAACCTGAGACTATAACATATACAAAGCACAGAGGAGGCGGAAAACAATGACCTTATCGGTTAACAAAGAAGAGGGAAGTCAATGAGCTCTGATATGCCCCTGGAAAACAAAACACCATTATAAAGGTATTTGCTTTTGCTCAGCTTTTTCGATTTCTAGAGTCACCTGTGGTTTCTTATTAAACTCTGCTTATTGAATCTTTTATTAAAACTTCAACCAAAATAACCACTACCAAAACATTTTGAATAAATCACAAGATTAATAATCATCAAGTATGTCTGATGATGGTGGTAGTCAAAAGAAAAATAGCCTTCTTTCATCCACTGGTATTTTATAAGTAATTGTGAAATATATGAAAGTAAAACTGGACTCTTAAACATCCATATTTTTTATTTTGAAATAATTTTAGATTTTCAAAGATAGTACATTGAGTTTCCATATGCTCAGTTTCTCCTGTTAGCATCTTACATAACTACAGTAAATTTTTCTAAACTAAAAATTTAACATTAGTAAAATACTATGCATTGAACTTGAGACTCCTTTCAGATTTCACCAGGTTTTTTTCATTAATTTATTTTTCTATTCCAGGATTGCATCTATAATCGCACGGTGCATTTGGTTGTCACAGCTCCTTTGTCTCTTCCAGCCTGTAACAGTTGCTCAACCTTGCCTGGTTCTTCTTGGACTTGACAGTTTGAAAAGCACTGGTCAATCATTTTGCAGAACATCCTCAACTTAGTTTTGTCTGATGTTTCCTCATGACTCGATTGAGGCTGTGCATTTTGCGGGGGAGGATACAACAAAATGCAATGGACTCAGGGGGGTCTAGGTTTTATAGCTGGTGATATTAACCATGATTACTTGGTTAAGGTAATATCTGACAGTTTTCTTATATAAATGTTTAGGGGAAAATATTTTGCCAACTATGCAAACATCCTATTTCTCTAGCTTTTGCCCATTAACATTAGCATTCACAAATGGATCTTGCCTGTGATGATTATTATTGTGGTGAGCTAATGCTTCCTTCATGAATTTTACATTCTTTGGTACAAAAATCAAGGACATTTATATTATTCTCTGGATTATACCACTACCTGGTAATCAGAGGTCTGATTTTCTTGCCTATAGTCTTGCCTTTTTTAACATGGAATGTAAATGAATTCTTTTATTTGGCAAAATGCAAATTCATCTGTACTAACATGCCAATCAATAATTCATTCTTTGTTATTGTGAAGCACTATTTCATTTTACAGATATATGTTTGTTTAGCTCTTCACTTATTAAAAGATATGAGGATAGGCTCTAGTTTCTATGAGAGACAGGGTTTTATCAACTATTAACAGAGCGGAGAGACAGCCTCAGAAGGGAGAAGACACTTCAAATCACACACCTTGCCCAACATCCAAAAGGGCCTCAACAGCAAGAAAACAGCATTATCAAAAAATGGGAAAGAACATTTCTCAAGAGATAACAGTAGCCAACAGATACATGAACCTCAACCTCTCTAATTATCAGGGAGATGTGACTAAAAACCACAATGAGATGTCATGTCACACTTGTTAGGACAGCTATGATCAAGACAATACAACCAACGATAAATGCTGGCAAGGGTGTGTAGTAAGGGGATCCTTATAGGATGCTGATGGGAATTAGTACACCCATTATGGAAAACTGAACCAATTACCTGAAAAATTAAAAATAGAATTATTATGTGATTCAGAAATCACATTTTTGGCATTAATTCAGAAGCATGGAAACTGGAATAATGAAGAAACATCTGCATTTCAATGTTAATTTCAGCATTATTCACAACAGACAAGGTAGAGAAGCAATTTAAATTGTGTCCATGGATGGATGGATGAATAAGGAAAATGTGGTACATATAGCAAGAGTTCCCACTCATCTACCTTCCTATTTTCTGAGGTCTCAATTACCTATGATTAGCCCTGGTCTGAACCAAGGGTTACATTACTATGAGAAAAAGGATAGTGTGGTATAGAAAGATATGAAACAGAGAGGGGGGGGGGGGGGGGGAGAGACACACTCCACTTACATAACTTTTCTTATAATACATTGTTAAAATTATAATTATGTTATTATTAATCTCTTATTGTCCTGATTTATAAATTAACTTGATCACAGATACGCCAATGTGAGTCTTGCAACATTATCTCCTGCAGATTAAGGGGGGACTTACTCTATACTCAATAACAATACACATTTGTGATACAGAAAGGAATTCTGTTTTTTAGGACAATGTGGATGGAACTCAAGAACATTAGGCTAAGTGAAATGAGCCAGGCACAGAAGGATAAGGGCTGTATGATCTCAGTGACATGTGGAATCTAAAAGAGTTGATCTCATAAAAGAAAGATGGTTATCAGAGGATGGGGGCAGAGAGAGGGGTGGGGCAGGCAAAGATGTTTATCAAAGGGTACAGAGTTTTAGGCTGAAGGAATGTTTTAGGGATCTATGGCACTCACAGGGACCATAGTTTATCATAATACATTTTAAATTTCCAAAATATTAGAAAATAGTAAATTTTTAACTACCCTACAAAAAATTAGATAGAATCTTTCTGCAATCATACATTGATGAAAATATCACATTGTGCCCCATGAAGAAAAAAATTATTTGTCCACTAAAAATAAAAAAAAATATTCACTAGTACAATAAATTTGAGAAATTAAAAAAAATCCCTTGCATTGAAAAAAAAAACAAATCACCACATTCACATTCAAATCTTGCTTACAGAGGACCACCGCACTGTGTGATACATAATTTGGTGCTGATGCAACTAATTACAAAAAGTAATTTTTGACATGAGTTATCTAAAATCCCTATACCTGAGAATAAATATATCACCTTCCAACTTTACCTATTTACTAGATGCTTATTAACACTAGGTACTTTTATCATTGCACTACCTTAGTTTATTACACTTGATAATCATTAAGGAATATGCATCAGTTTTTTATGTCAAAAATTTTAACATACATTCTCACGTGAAGCACATGAGAGCCATGTTTGTTTTCAAAACAACTTTGATTGCTTTATAAATAAGTAAATTGAGGATAAAAAAATAATGAATTGTGTGAGTTTTATTTTTCATAAAATGGCATTCTAGATTGATCTCACTGAACGTATTGCTGTCATATTTCAAAAGAAAACAGGACACAGGTTACACAAGAATTAATGAACTATCATTTGTTCGACTTTATGACTTAATCATAAATCTGCCCTCAGTACTGGGGATTATTGATGGTTTCAGTGTGTAGGAGTTGTCACTAGAAAAATATAATGATTATTCTGGGAAACAGGATAGATGTTTTAAACATCAAGAGCCAAAGAAATGATTACAATAGCCACTGTTTCCAAACATGATTTTAAGCAGATTAATATGTATCTTGGAGGGAATAAACTAAAGTTTAGCATAAAGTTAATAAAACATTTTTGTGATTCTAATGTATAATATGTATTATAAAAATCAATTAGAAAGGTGGAACAGTGAACAAAGATGAAACTTAGTTATTGTGTATAACTCTAATGGTCAGCCTTAGCATTTTTAAAATTTTATATTTTAGATGGTTACAGTTTTGTAGAAATGCTGATTCACACAGAAAAGCAGCCGCAAATGGCAAATGTTTTGTTTTAAAGGCCCAATTTGCAAACTTGGGAGAAATCTTTAATAGAATAGTGAGCTGCTGGTAAGAACTTTATCTCAAGTCTATGCCAGAAATCAGCATGCTGGTGGGTGAACACTTGAAGGATTAGTACATGCAAAAACATTTTGTATTTTCAACTGGAAGACATTTAAAAATGTTTTAAAAATTAAAACAAAGTTTAAAACATTTAAAAATGAATACAGAATCAAAATCCTGTAGAACCCAGAGGTACTAAAAAGAACCCTAGGATTTTGATGGCCATGAACACAATTTAAAAAGCGCTACAGAACTGAGATTGGTGCCAAAGGCAACTCCTGGATCCTGCAAATAATCCACTGCAGAAAGTCAGATGCCGGCTCACAAAGCACTACAAATATGTAGTTTCTAGTACTGAAAAGGGAAGATGATTAGATATGAATCCCCAAGTCACTCCCCAAACACAGTAAAAATGCCAATGTAGATAATCACGTATGATATAAAATGTTTAAAATATTGGTATGTTTCCAATAACTGTTTAACAAATGCTTTTAAGCTGTAAAAGTTCCTCATTAAACTAGCAACATTCCAGCCCAATGAAATTCTCTACTAACTTTGAGCACTTTTTTCAAAGGACTACAAATGATGCATGTTTTAATGACTGCATCTGTAAATCACTTGAGACTTTACCCAC